GAATAGAATAGAATAGAATAGAATAGAATAGAATAGGAGCTGGAAGGGACCTTGGAGGTCTTCTAGTCCAGCCCCCTGCTCAAGCAGGAGATCCTATAACATCTCAGGTTGTTTCTCTGCTTGATTAGTTTCCATCCCTTGTTTCTTGTCCTGCCTTCAGGTGCTTTTGAGAATAAGTGGACCCCACCCCCTCTTCTCTGGGGCAGCCCCTCAAATCCTGGAAGACTGCTATCCTATCCCCCCTAATTCTTCTTTTCTTTAGACTAGCCAGACCCAAATCCCGCAGCCGTTCTTCATATGTTTTAGTCTCCAGGCCTTTGATCATCTTAGTTGCTCTTCTCTGAACTTTTTCCATAGTCTGAACATCATTTTTTGTAATGTGGTGACCAAAATGGGTTGTATTACTACTATTAGTACTACTACTACGATGCACTATTTGATAGCTACCGTGTGTCATCACTGCATACTTAAAACACAGGTAATCTGGTCAGGTAAAGGCCTCCCAGGATCATTTGCACCAGAGGCCAAGTTCCGTTAGCTATTTATATATTATATCTTGCAGAGAAGAGCAACCAGGATGATGAGGGGACTGGAGGCTGAAACATACGATGAACGGTTGCAGGAACTGGGCCTGGCTAGTCTAGGGAAGAGAAGGATCAGGGTGTCGTGGCTGGGTGGGGGGTTAGACTAGATGACCTACAAGGTCCCTTCCAACTGTTAATCTGGATCTATCTATAAGATGATCAAAGGCCTGGAGATTAAAACATACGATGAACGGTTGCAGGGCCTGGGCCTGGCTAGTCTAGGGAAGAGAAGGAGACAGGATAGCATTGAGGGGCTGCCCAAAGAAGAGGGAGTCAAGCTATTCTCCAAAGCACCAGAAAGAAAGACAAGAAACAATGGATGGAAACTAATCAAGGAGAGAAGCAATCTGGAATTGAGGAGAAATTTTGCGACAGTTAGAACAATTCATCAGAGGAACAGCTTCCCTCCAGAACTTGTAAATGCTCCAACGCTGGAAGTTTTGAAGAAGAGATTGGATAACCATTGGTCTGAAGTGCTGTAGGGTTTCCTGCCCCAAGCAGGGGCTGGACTAGAAGACCTCCAAGGTCCCTTCCAAGGAAAAGGGTTTGCTCCCCCATCCAGGTGAACTTGTCCGAATGCATCCCAAAGAAATCCTTCGCCGAGCCCTTCCTCTGCCTGGGTCCTTACCTTACCGCCGGTTTGGATTTCTGGATGGAGCCGCAGAAGACGTCCATGCCGACGCGGAGAACGCAGGCGGAGACGAGAAGGAAGAAGAGGCAGGTGGCTGAGACCACCAAGGAAGTCCTGACCCAGGAGTGGACCCTGCAGGAGAGCCGGAGAAGCAGCCTCAGCACCCGGGATCGGAGGTGGTCTTCGGCTGGTTCTGACCGGTTCTGCAGAACCGGTAGCGGACATTTGGAGTCCTTGGGAGAACCAGCATAAATCCCACCTCCGACTGGCCCCGCCAACCCCCCATCTCTTCTCTGCCTCCCATGGAGTCCCAGCTGATCGGCTGGGTCTCCTTTGGTTGCCCTGCACAGGAGAATGGAGCTGGAAAGCAGGTTAGTGGGATGGGGAGGGAAGGGGGAATTGGCAGTATATCCTTCCCCTGCCACGACCACCAAGCCACGCTCACAGAGCCGGTAGTAAAAAAATTTGAATCCCACCACTGGAGACATCCCTCCAATCACTCCCCTCCAGGTGCAGGGCAACATGTCCTTGACTCTCTGAGAAAGAGTGTTGATGAGTCTAATCTTCTAATCCCCTCTACGAAATCCCCCCCTCCCAAATTCCCAGGCACTGAATGGGGCAGCTAGATATTTGGATGTTGAAAATTCAGCTCTGTTTTCCATCCCGTGATCCCAGCCCATTGGTTCATGGCTGATGCCCCCCACCCCCCGACCCCATGGTCCAGCCCCCTCCCGGCCCCCCTCACTCACAAGTGCCCGTCGCCGTAGCACAAGCTGTAGAGGCAGCGGAGCAGAGAGACCAGGGTGAAGATGGCCGTCAGCCCAGAGACGGCGGATATGAAGTAGCAGAGCGAGGGAGGGCTGGAACTCAGGAGGCTCAGCGTCCCGTTGTAGCCCACCGACCCGTACAGAATGCACCGGCCGCCAAAGCTCCCCTGAGGAAGGGAGAGAGGTAGAAGGAGGGGGGCAGCAGAGGAGTGGCTTGCTGGCCAAAGAAAGGGAGTTCTGGTGTTGACTCCCCCCCCCCCCCCAGTCTCTGTGGAGGATGGGATCCAGAACCCAAGACCTGGTTGAAGGCTGCAATGGAGATGTTTGCTCCCTAGATTTCTTTTTTTTTCTCTCTCTCTTCTTCCATTTTGTTTCAATCCTGCCTTTGTTTATTTGTCTTCATAACTCAAAGCAGTGAGCCATATCCATCCCACCTTCCGCCTCCTATTTCCCCCACCACCACAACCCTGTGAGGTAGGCCGGGCTGAGCGAGGGACTGGCCCAAAATCACCCAGCTGGCTTCCGTGCCAAAGGCGGCACTACAACTCCCCGTCTCCTGGCGATCGGCCCAAAGTCCAGTTGGCTTTCATGCCTAAGGCGGGACTAGAACAGGTTTACGACGGTTTCAGGGTCACATGATCCCCTTTTTGCAACTGTCTGATAGGGGGGAAGCCGGATTCACTTAACAACGAGGTTATTATTAACTTATCCACTGCAGTGGTTCACTTAACAACGGCGGCAAGCAAGGTCGTCAAACGGGGCAAAACTCGCTTCACAAATTACCCCTCCTTTCCTCACACCTGAACCCAGAGCTCCTGCCTGTCCCCCTGTGCCTTAGAGCAGGGGTCTCCAACCTGGGCCCCTTTAAGACTTGTGGACTTGCTGGCTGGGGGGATTCTGGGAATTGAAGTCCACCAGTCTTAAAGAGGGGCCCAGGTTGGAGACCCCTGCCTTAGAACACCTGGACCCCTTGAAGACTTGGGGACTTCAACTCCCAGAATCCTCCCAGCCAGCAGAGCTTTTAATAGACGAGGAGCCTGGCTGGCTGGGGGGATTCTGGGAGTTGAAGTCCACCAGTCTTCAAGGGGCCCAGGTTGGGGCCCAGGTTCAGCCCAGCCAGCGGGGCCCCCTCTTCTCCGGGCACCGTCACTGAGGCGGGGGAAGAGAGAGGCCGCTTCCCAGTCACGGGACACCGCCACCCCCGTCCCGTCCGGCAGCCCGACCGGCGGGGCAGGTGGGCCCCGAAGGCCCCCCCACCTGGCGGCTCACCTGGGCGAGGCCGAGGGCGGCGGCGGAGCCGAGGGCGGCGAGCAGGGCGGCGGCGTTGAGCGCCAACTCCAGCAGCAGCCAGCCGGACGGGCGCGCCATCTTCGGGCTGGGAGCGGGGCCAGGCAAGCGCCCCGCCCGGCGCGTCAGCAGCAGCAGCAGCAGAGGGGACGGCGGAGCAGCCCGGCTTCGACGGCGGCCCCTTTTAAGACTTGTGGGGACTTCAACGCCCAGAATTCCCCAGCCAGCCGCGCTCGTCGTCGATTAAAGGCTCTGCTGCCTGGGGAATTCTGGGAGTTGAAGTCCACGAGTCATAAAGATTCTCCGTCCTCCAGGTCCTGGTTGGGCCAAAGGTGCTTTTTTTGTGTGTGCCCCCCCCCCCCCCCCCCAAGAGGCAACTGGACTTTCTGGTTTTTCTTGGAAGACGTTTCTTTTCTCCTCCAGGAAGCTTCTTCAGCTCTGAAGCTTCTTGGATAAGAAGCAAAAATGGATTCAAAGAAAGAACAAAGTCCAGCTGCCTTGCTTGGATAAACCAGGATTTGGCAAACTGTTGTAATGAGGAGGTAGTCGAGTTGTTTGATCATCAACAACTGAATCATGATGATCTTTATTGGAGTCTAGTCTTGCATTTATACACATTTTTAATTATCCTCCATCATTGGTTAACTTTGGTTACTGCTTAACTTTCGTTACTGTTTAGCACAGTAATCCATACAATTAATTATCTCTAGTTAAAGTCTAACATATGTTTACTTCCTCTCTCTAATCCTCCTTTAGATTAGTGACTTTGTTTGCCTGAGCTGTATTTGCTTGGAAACATT